CAGGGCGGTAGCCCTTGCAGACGTATCCTCATTGCGGGTTGCAGCTGCTGCTGCTCCTGCTGCAGCAGCACCTGCTGCTGCTGCTGCTGCTGCTGCTGCTGCGGCAGCTGCTGCAGGAAAGCTACATCTTTCAGGCTGCTGCAGCAGCGCAGAAAATGAGAGGCCCCCGGGCTGGCGATATCTCCAAACCCAGACGGGGGGCCCTCGGGCATGCTGCAGCAGCAGCAGCAGCAGCAGCAGCAGCAGAAGCAGCAGCAGGGGCAGCAGCAGCAGGAGCAGCAGCAGCAGCAGCAGCAGCAACAGCAGCAGCAAAAACAGCAACAACAGTGGCAGACATATGAGGAGCGATAGAAGCAACAGTAGTGAACAGTAGCAGCAGCAGCAGCAGCAGCAGCAGCAGCAGCAGCAGCAGCAGCAGCAGCAGCAACTGATGATGATGAGAAACCATTAGCAGCAGCAGCAGCACTACCACCATCACCACCACCACCACCATCATCATCAGCAACAGCAACAACAACAGCAGCAGCAGCAACACCAGCAGCAGCACCACCACCACCAGCATCAGCAGCATCAGCAGCAGCACCAGCAGCAGCAGCAGCATCAGCAACAACAACAACAACATCAGCAGCAGCAGCAGCATCCGCAGCAGCAGCAGCAGCAGCAGGAGCGTACAGTGCGTGTATATGTTGTTTAATATGTAATCTGAGTTGTGTTGCCTGCATGCAGAGCTGCTGCTGCGCTGCAGCATACAAACGGAGACGATCCCGGTACGATCCCGCACCCCACACGGGCACCCCAAACCAGTGCTGCAGCAGCGCGCGCTCCAGTGCACTGCAGCAGCAGCAGCAGCAGCAGCAGCAGCAGCAGCAGCAGCAGCAGCAGCAGGAGAGGAAGAAACAGCAGTGGATGGTCAGAAACAGAAACAGCAGCAGAAACAGCAGCAATAGCAGCAACAGCAGCAGCAGCAAAAGCAACACATAACACACACACACACACAGACACATACATCAGTAGCAGCAGCAGCTGCAGCAGCAGCTGCAGCAGCAGCAGCAGCAGCAGCAGCAGCAGCAGCAGCAGCAGCAGAGTTTTGTGTAGGTTGTGGTGTTTTAGTGCCACCCCAGAGACTGCTGCCTATCTGTCTCCGTTTGTCTCCTTTTGTG